AGGATGTCACATTAACTCAGTATGATAAAACTGGTGTCTAAAGGGAGGCTAGTGTGAGAAAATGAACAATTTGTGTTTAGATCAACTTCTGAAGAATTATGTCAACAATAATGAAGACTTTTCAGATGATTTGTGTTCAACTTGATCAGGATGACATATGAAAGATAAATTTGGACTGGTGAGGATAACATAATTTCATCAGAACTGTTGACAATGGCAAGGTTCATCTGTTGTCATGGTAACTTGGGTTAAGGTAACATGGTATTTCTGGATTTGAACTCCCGTTTCTGATGTTATGTAGAATGTTTTTATAACTTTATTAAGTGTAAGTTTGTTTGCTATATCTAGTTTAGATACATGTGTTAAAGTTGTTTTTAAGAGATATTAATGCATTTCACTATCTTTATGTAGCAGTGGTGTATCTGGTATGGCGGGGTTACTCCAGGTAATTGGTGTATAAACACAAGTAAAGAATCATGTCTGTTGAAGATTTATGAGGCATTTCAGTTGATTTTTATTGGACACTTTCCAAGTAGCATTTTCATAAAAACTAGGAACATTCATATAGACACCAGGATGAATGTTTATGAATAGATGCAATTTGAGGGTATCCTTACAGTGAAATGAAAAGGCTGTATGTTCCTGAATGGATCGTGTTGGGATAGAGATGTAAGGTTTTACTACCCTAACCTGTATTGTTTATAAAGTCTCTTGTAGAATTAGTTAGATAATGCTTTGATGGAATGATGTGCTGACATAGCTGTAATGTTATAAACAACACTTTGATCCTTCAGTATGTTGTCTTCACTGTAACCCATTTATCCTACATGCTGTTCTGTTTTATGGTACATAATTAGACAAACAGAAATTGTCTGACACACCGCTGGGATGAGGGGTTATTTTTGTTGGGAAGGAATATTTGTTAAAAATGGCTTCTACACCTGTCACCTGTATTGGCTAAGTATATACACAAACATATGGCCACTGGCACCAGTATTGTATCCCATATCAGAAACCTTATATCTTGTTTACAGTGGTTCATCCAAGTTGAGAAAATTACCATCAAAGTCCTCTCCCAGATATTATTATCACTGTTTTATTGAATTTTACATCATTCAATTGTGAAATGATTTTATTACTACAGATAAAAGCTATTTTTATAGAATTCAAACTATCACAATTTTTCTGATGGGAGTAATTTGCCTTCTTTTTACTGCTGAACTATTAAAGTGGTTTATGTATGTTAATTTTCTTTGAAACATTTTGTTTTACAAGAAGTAAAATGATGAATAATTCATGACTTAAAAGGTACACATTAGTACATTGGTGTTTATGTCACTCAGTCATTGATAACATTGTGTATTCCTATCTGGTTAACGTGATCATAAACTAGAGATATTTAGATTTACTGTATAGGTAAATAACTGTGATTTGTGTTTTCCAGAGCTGATCCGATGTTCACATCCAGTAGTGGATCAAGTAGTGATGAGTCGGAGGAGGAATCAGATACCAGTGGCTCGGACAGTGATAGTCCCGGCTCCGAGGCCGACAACCAAGATGAAATTGAAAAGACAGAACGACCCAAAACCCCACCTATTAAATCGCCTCCCCCACCACAGGAACAGGTAGGTACTGGCTTCTTACATCAAAGTATTGCCAAAGCATTTCTGACATGACCTACAAATTTTGTGTCGGAATTTGCAAGGGTTTGTCCTTAAATCTAAAACAAAGTTCTTTATACTTCACATAAGAAGTGACCCCAGGAAAAAAATGTACTCACGTTATACCACCCTAAATGGAACGAAAGATTCTCTTCAGCAATCAATCGTAGAGAGCAGATTATTACTTTATATGATGTTTAGGCTTTACTTTCAATCTAAATAACATTTAACAGGCCTTTTTGAAGTTCCTTGTGTTCATAGCCTTAAAAAATATTTAGCTGTAGTAATGTGAATATTTGCTCCATGAGTTCAAATAAATGGAATCCAGAAAGACATTCTGGACATTTTATTCTATTTTATGCAAGCTGATTGGCACTCTGACGGCCAGGGAACTTGAATGTGGATATGTCTCTCCACCAAGGAGCATAGGCTCTCCTTAAACAGGTTGACCTATTTGTTGGAAATATATTTTTTGATTTACTTTCAAATTATTTCAAATTGAAAAGAAAAGCTTACTATTAATTAAGACCCCCTGGGCATCTGGTTTTATCACAAAATTCAAATCAAATAAAACCAGAAACATAATCAAAAGATAGATCTGCTTGAAACAAATTATAAATCATAACGGTTGGGATGTTGTGGATAAGTTGCACTAGAAGCCACAGACATTATATAAGATATTCTTTAAGTGTGCCTCCTATGTCTGTGGGTTGTGCCAATGTATGGGTGGTCCCAAAGGACCTCTGAGTTTCAGGAAGACCAGCCTACTAGGTACCTGAGATAGGGTGGTCTACAGTTCCCCTAGATACCCTACACACTTATATAAAAATAGCATTTATGTTTAAGAAGTTTGTCTTTATGTATATTTTATGATGTGTAGAATTTCTGTTTACATGCAGGTTTTAATAGACCTCAATGAAGATAGTCCTAGCCAAGTCCTTATGTAATGTTCTAGCATTATGAATTTAGTTAGAATTTCATGTTTGGCAATAAAAGTTCTTAATGTATTTAATAAATATATGCAAAGATCTTCAAACTGATAACCATTTCTACATGTGTCAGCTGCACTGCCAACCAAACCCACATATTTTACTGTGAATGAGCTGAAACCTATTTCTGGTGGTTCAGTTTAAAGGCTCAATGCCAATATGCTATATGTGTTAATATTATTTTATTGACTGGTAGCATAAACAGGTGTTGTGTGATTAAGAAATCTGATTATAGCTATTTCACAACTTTAGTTACAACAACCAAGGCAAAAAGCCTTTCCATAAATCATTTTGATATTTTATATGCAGATATGATTTACATCAACATACACATCAAGTAACTTGTAAGCTATGATAGGAGAGGATTTCCTAGATATTAATGATACCCACTCTGACATTCTTTTCTTCTTTCTCATAAAATAGGACAAAGAAGAATAAGTTTATTTACATGTTTAAGGGACTAGGTTACAACCATTATAGATCGTTATCAATCTTCAGCTCTGTTATACATACTGGTATTCTGTCATGTATTATTTACTATGGTAAGGGCCTTTTTCACTGTGTTGTTTGTGGTAATTCCCTGGTAGGGGAGAGATGCTGGTATCGATTGCTGTTGAGGAATCCCCATGGATAGGTGTCTGATACATTGATCCATGACCTGCTTCCCTGCTTATAATGGCATTTGGGAAACTGGAATAAATGTCAAAATATTTCTGTCAAGTACTGTCAGTTTTCATACTCTTTCTGTAGTAAACAGCTTATGTCACTTACAAACTTATTATTCTTAAAATACTCAATCTTTCCAGCAGACTAATTATACTATTTCTACAGGCAAATTATACAGGATTATTCCTGTGATCATTGTACCATCAGATTTAGTGTGTTTTTTTTTTAAAAAATTTTAAATCTATTACAATTGTTTCCTTGATTGCTGTGACTTTTCTGCAATTACTGACTGCATGACCTTGTCTCGGTGACTTAGTTACAATAAAATGAGAAGATAAATCATGAGGATTTTGTTTTGCGTATATCTGTATATCTTGTTGTATCGGATTAGGTAGATCATTATAAGTGAGGTGTTATTTTCCCTTGCACAGCTTGTTTGTTCAGCAGTTGTATTGTCAGTTGATATTTAGACCATTTCTGTTGTGTAACAACTTTCAAACCAGTGAGTGTAAAACAGATCAATTATCATTTCTAACCCTGCAATGATCATCTGTGATTATGGAAAGTGTTCACCTTGTCCATTCCTTTATCTGTTCATGCTTAAATTACATGGTAATTGAATTGACGTGGTCTAATGACTTTTGCACATACAGTCACAGTAGTTATTTATTTGATTATTTGAAACAATTCAGAAAATTTCTGTTTAGTAATTATGTAATTAGTCCTTCTTTAAATTGTCTTCAATAAGGCCATTATTGTTCTGAGATAGCATATTTACCTGGAGGTTGATTAGTTTCGTACTTTAAGTGGATTTCATAAGATGCAAATTTAGGGAAAGAAGACCCAAGAACCGATGTCAAAAATCTTCATGTTTAAAATTTCAGGAGGATGTTTTTTGGAGGATAGTATTTGGTTCAACTCTAACTGAACATTTAGTCCAATTTGTAAAGTAAGATAATACGAAAAGTTCTAAAATAATAGGGAGTCCTGGGAAAAGTTAGCCTAGACAAAGTAAATATCTGATTTATTTAAGTATTCCTATGTTCAGATGAATTTGGTTGGACTTTAATTCAATTTTGTTATATTTGATTACTTATTTCCTGACATCTGTGTCTTTGTTTTGCAGAAGAAGACAAGCTGGGCACTGGGAACATTTATGCCCCCTACCCCTTCTGTGCCAACTCTGACCTCCAATTCACTAGTCAGATCTAGTCCCTACAAGGAAGATCCGAACAATGAAGTCATAGACAACATTCTCAACGAATTTATCAAACCAGGTTTGAAGGAAGATGGTGATGCTGATGATGATGACGACGACGATGATGATGACGATGATGATTCTGATAATGACACAGATGATAGTATAACCAAAATTGTGGCCAAGTTTAAAAATAACAATATTCCTGGTAGTAACCTAGCAAATGTACGCAATTCCAGCAAATCACCCGGTGCTTCTTCTTCAGGTCGGGGATCAAAACACACCAGTGTCAAAAGTACATCAAAACAGACTGGTAGTAGAGGACGTCCCCCAAGCGATGCCTCAAAGAAAGAACGATCCAAGAGAAAAACATCGCAAACAGATCAGAGAAAGAAAAATTCTAAGGCACATAAATCTAAAGCATTCATTGATACAGACAGTGAGGAAGAGGAGGAGGAAATGGTGGCACCTCTAGTGGATCCAGCAGTCCAGATGATCATGGAGGAGGACGATGAAAATATAGAGATCGACGTCCTCAGTGTTACGCCAGAGAAAAGTGGCGATGCTAACACAAAATTTAATACAAAGGATGTATCACTAGTGACAACACAACTCAACTTTCAGGAGAAATACAATCGTAATGATTCCAAATCCAAGGATAAGAAATCTTCAATTTCTAAAAGCAGCAAAAAGGAAACCAAATCTGAATCTAAGTCAAGTGGTGGTAGTAGTAGTAGTCAGAGTAAACCGCCAAAATATAGTCGCTCTTCCTCTAAGGAAAAGTCCTCAAAGAAAAATCGTGCTATGAAACATAATGAAGACAAAGACGTGAAGGAACATAAGGTGAACGAGGCACCAGCCCCGCCACCCATCGCTGTGGTAGCACCCATGAAACCATATGAAAAAATGAATAATAGCAATACAACTTTTGACAAGAATAGTATGAATGAGATTTTAGAGGAGTTCGGGAGAGGTGATACACTGCTGTCTCCTTTACCAACTGTGCCAGAAAAACCTAAGATAGTCCCATCTCCGGAGAAGGAAAAGGAGAAATCAAAGATTCTGGATGCACTTTCCTATAAGGATGGCCGGCCTAGTATTGTCGTAAGGCTAGATTGGGCATTAGTGAGCCACTTTATAGAAGCAAGGAAAAAATCGGACAGTGTTGGTAAGAGAAAGCCTAGCTCAGATATACCCATCAGTAGTAGTGAATCAAGAAAACCTCGCTTAGATTCAGAGAGTGATATAAATAAGGAATTGATTGATGACGAGATGATTCTTGGTACACCGGAGAGTAAAATGGACTCTTCCTTCTCCTCACATCAGTCCTCTAACAGTGTTGCAAACAGTCACCGTAAACCTCACAAAAAACGCAAGTCGGAGGCAGACCACGGGGATGTGTTAGCAGGTAGCAGCAAACGTCAAAAAGGCAGCAGCCATAGGTCTAGTCACCACAAAAAGACTAATCAGGACTCCAGTCAAAAGGAGTAAGTGTTTCTGTGGCAATTGTGTGTCTGATTCTGGGGATTACATATTTCTAATGAGAAAGAAAATATTAATTTTGATGTTTGGTAAGTATGATTGTGCTGTCTTACTGGATGATCTCCCCTTGGCTCTATTCTAAGATGGCAGCACCAACCTGCAGTAACAAGATCATTTGAACTTAATATCGGAGTTGCCGAAACTTCAAAAGTCTTAGCTGTGTTTTTTATTTTGGATAAACCAAAGATTGGTACTAAATTTTTGAGTGGATTAGGTTAAACTTCCTTTATCGATCTAAATCAATGTGGTCAAGTTTTAAAAATTTGTTGGAGACATCTAATACACTTCATAGAATCAAATTCTGTCGAGTCTCTTTGGTGATGCAAGTCTGTGGGGAGATAACTCTGGTAATTAATTTTCTTTCAGGAGGAGAAGTCACACGGACGATCATGAATGGGACAGGAAACATCCAACCAGGTCAAGATCAAATAGCGGGGAATGTCGCTCTAGTGAATCTAGTCATAATGCCAATACCAATATCTCACACCGAAAGTCTCAGCCAGTCGAGGATGCTAGCAAGTCGGACTTTGATGACAAGGTGAGATGTTCATTGTAACTTTTAAGGACAGGAATGTCAATATTGCTAGACAAATGAAGATGTGACACCTAAGTGAACATCTCAATACACAGACAGAACAAACTCTGATGTGAACATCTCAATACACAGACAGAACAAACTCTGATGTGAACATCTCAATACACAGACAGAACAAACTCTGATGTGAACAACATCTCAATACACAGACAGAACAAACTCTGGTGTGAACATCTCAATACACAGACAGATCAAACTCTGGTGTGTACATCTCAATACACAGACAGAACAAGCTCTGGTGTGAACATCTCAATACACAGACAGATCAAACTCTGGTGTGTACATCTCAATACACAGACAGATCAAACTCTGGTGTGTACATCTCAATACACAGACAGATCAAACTCTGGTGTGAACATCTCAATACACAGACAGAACAAACTCTGGTGTGAACATCTCAATACACAGACAGATCAAACTCTGGTGTGTACATCTCAATACACAGACAGATCAAACTCTGGTGTGTACATCTCAATACACAGACAGATCAAACTCTGGTGTGAACATCTCAATACACAGACAGAACAAGCTCTGGTGTGAACATCTCAATACACAGACAGAACAAGCTCTGGTGTGAACATCTCAATACACAGACAGATCAAACTCTGGTGTGTACATCTCAATACACAGACAGATCAAACTCTGGTGTGTACATCTCAATACACAGACAGATCAAACTCTGGTGTGAACATCTCAATACACAGACAGAACAAACTCTGGTGTGAACATCTCAATACACAGACAGATCAAACTCTGGTGTGAACATCTCAATACACAGACAGACCAAACTCTGGTGTGTACATCTCAATACACAGACAGAACAAACTCTGGTGTGAACATCTCAATACACAGACAGAACAAACTCTGGTGTGAACATCTCAATACACAGACAGAACAAATTGGGATGTGAACAACATCTCAATACACAGACAGAACAAACTCTGGTGTGAACATCTTTGTTTCCTGTCATTCATTTTGGTTTTAACCCAGTCAACCAATTAGGTTATAGGCAGATGACTTATTGTTAGATATCAATTTGTACCTTTTGGTCTTTTGTGTTTTTTATTCTGCATCTATGTAAGTGTTGTTGTATCTGACTACAGAACTGTAAGAGGGCTGATATTGTTGTGTACAAGTGCTCCCCACCTACTTAGACCTGTAATGTATAAAGTCAATCCCTTGTTCATCACCATTATATCTTGCAATTGATAGATTGATGTTGTTGAGGCTGAGAGTTCAGATTTAGATGTCTAAAGCCTGGTTATTTTTATCTATAAGTACTTGCAATACTTTAATCTAGAATATTTTACAAAATAATTAGATGCTTTTAACTAAGATTACTTTTCAAGAAAAGATCCTATGAAATAGGACATTGCTCACAAAATTACATTTTGGAAATGTATTTAAATACGGGTTGGGTTAAGCTGATTAAGATAGACAATTGTATCCTTATGGTTGAATATAGCTGACACATTCAAGTACCTCAATAAATATACTTCCGTTCGTAATCTATATATGGAAAAGTATTTTAGATCTGATTCAGCAGAAGTGATAATGAAAAGACTTTTCCCCCTATTTATATATATTCTCACACACACATTGAGGGGACTTTTTCTGTGCATATATAACATTGTAAACTCATTTGTTATTTTTTGTGAAGAAATATGCATTTTCACTTCATGCTGGTTTGTTGATTTATGTGGCGCATTATACGATGAACCCAGACTTAATTAGGCATGGTAGAATAAATGGAAAACTGTGTAGTAAAGTTCTGTTACATCCAGCCCTTTGAGTGTACTTTGAGTCATTTGATACTTGTGTATGGAGAAGTTTCAGAAAGGTCTCAACTGACCCAGAAAAAAGAAACCTACTGCCAAAGTCTGACACACAGTAACACTATATCAATAAAAAGATCAGTGTTGTACTGTAGAGAAAACTAGTCCATAAAATACTTGTCAAGTTGATTGTAAATATGGTGATCAGACATCTAATTTTTATCCTTTAATCTTGTTAGCTGCAAAGGACTGCAGGCATCAAATGGATTACTCTAATTCCTTCATCAAAGCAGTGTTCTCACATTGGTCTGTTGAATACAAACCCCCTGGTAATGTCAGAGGAAGTATTTTCAGATATTTTTTTTGTAAACAGGGAAACTGGCAGTAATAAAAAAAATTGATGATATAGAAATGTGATTGATCTGTTATATTTCATGTCAGCAGAAATGAAAATCCAAATCACATTTCAACTTGGTTATTTGTTCCAGACATCCTGTTAAGAAACTTAAGGGGGAGAAATCTTTTAACAGAAAAAAATTAATGCCAAAATGTCTAGAATAGATACAGACTCCCTTCTGGAGACTTTAACATTAAAAATCACAGCAGGATTTCTGCTTAAATTTTGATAGCATTAGTAGCTATACACACAAAAGACTAGTTTGGTATTGATTGCGACTTGACATTGGGTAAATGGGTGATTGCTCAGGGGTTGAGATGAAGCCGCCTGGCCTACAATAATGGGAGCAGAAGTAGAGTGAACTCAGCCACACTAGGGATAATTCTGTAATTGATTGTCTTGTTGGTTGGGGATGCTGAGAGATGAGGCCTGTGGAGAGTGTGGTGTCTACCACCACCGGAAATTTGCATGGTGTGGCCTTAAGGGATCAATATTTTAGCCCTGTAGACATGTTTCTGATTAATATGACAACTATACTGCCGAAGGAAACATTATCCTTACATACCTGCCCAGATATCTAACTTGTAAGCTAGCTCAGTTTTATTCCTTGCCTTATTCCTCAGCTTCTTTTCAAATTTTTATTTGGTACACCTAAAATCATGTGGTGTTAGTTTCAGGAAATCTTAGGGATTTGATATAGGAACAGGTTACCTAGCATCATATTGTAATGAAAAGAATGACTTAAAAAATCTAAAAATAATATTTATTTAAAGGTTTGAGGATGGTGGTACCGCATGTTCTTGAAATAATTCATTTTCACAATCTTACTCTGATAAAGCTGCATGTTTTTATTCCACAGTAACGCACTAGTTAATTCCCATAGCTCCTTAACGGAACTACATTGTATGCCTCCATCATATTCACACCGGATGTTTTGTTAATTCAGGACATGTATTCTGTGCTTACAAGAAGAATCAGTATTCTTTGGTGTGAAATCTTGTGATTTTACAAGGGGGAAATTGAAAATGATAGAATTTGCCTTTGGGAAATATAATTCTGTCAAATGTTAATTCAATATAAAAGATTGGTTACATTAATCATCTCCACACTCAATCGATAAGAGTTTAGATTGATTCAGTAAGGTGAAAAGATTATCAGTTTAAGATAGTAGATTTTCTGTAGGATTGAGACCAAGTGTTATACTGTCAAATCAGTGTTGTTTGGGTGAAGATAAGCAACATTTGTGAATGAAATCGAATTACAGAAAAGATTTTTTTTTTTATATTAATAAAATTAAATCTGTAAATGAATCAATTTCTTTTCCAGTTACAATGGTGTCTTGACCTGGATTGAGTTTTTCCCATTTAAATTTTTCTCATTTACTTGAGAAAATTGTAAAACATTTCAATATACCTACAATGTACTTTTCTTGTATAGCACAGTTATAATCTATGTAAACTAATGTTTATTCCATCAAAGGAAAACTTGTGATAAAAAACTGGACACAAAAAAAATTCCTGTTATTGTTTCGCACTTGGTAATACATAATAAGTAAATGAATATATTCCTATTTAAAATTTTTTATCTTTTGGTGATTATCACCACTAGTGAAATGCTTTATCAACAGTCCGTCAGTCTGCAATAATCTTTTAACAAGCGTTAATTCGGGTGTTGACTAAGCTGTAGTGAGCATTCCCCCTCACACCCTGCCCCTCCAATCCCACCCCCACCTCACCGCCAATCATTTGATAGTGAATTCTACTAACTTTGAGAGGGGCGTGTATCCACCCATTACACCAGTAATTACATATGCAAGACACATAGTGTCAGTATATAGCTGTTTATTGAATTAGGCAGTTAAAGATGTGCCAGTCTAGCCAACTCAGAGTTGTCTTCTATTGGTCATCATGGTTTGTTTGTGCAGATATAGATACACCATCACATTATCTGCACTGTTGTAGTACATAACAACATTGTTATTTTCTTAAATGTTAGACAGGAAAAAAATCTTTTCAGCATGTTCAATTTTATATAAAAATATTAAAGATAATGTAATAATTGAACTTTTTTGAGTAAGGTGATCATCACTTCTGTCATATTAGCGAGGAAATAGCGTGTCAGTGATTATCTAGGCTTCATCCATCTAACTGTAAAAGTAACAGTTGTCTCTTTACACTTGACCACTATCCCCTAAGGCTTCTTAGAATGGTTTCCTTGGTGTGATTGATCCAGTAACAGACTAACCCTGTCTTCTGACAATTTGACCTACAAAAACACCCACCAAAAGGGGTCAGTTCTGTGACAGGTCTTCCCTGCTCCAGGGCAGTGTCTATCTCATATACAGTGCCTCTAGCTGCTATCCTGTCTTGCAACATAACATTTCCACAGGTATTTAATGACAGGAAACCATATCAACCTTATGCTCATTTTTCAGAGCAATTTTATACTTTTTATCAAACAGGAGAGTTTACTACTAATATCTTGAACATTGATGCATAAAAGCTATTGAATTGTTTTTTAAATGTTATTGTTGAAAATGTTCACTTTATTGGGCAGCATGAAACAATGGCTCTCAGCTTTTGTCTGTAACAGTTGTTTCATTAACATGACAGAATGACCCAAATAGATGTTCAATTTAGTCAAAGACATAACTGAAGATTGCAACAGTGGTTCTAATTTTTTGTTTATATTTTGACTGGCAACAATAATTGATGGAGAAAATGAGCCTTAGCTAGGAGTTATCACTTCAGTTCTAATTAGAAGAGTTTAACATGCATGGGTACTGTCCTGTTGATTTTGAGATTTAATCTTGCATAGAAGAGTTCAGTATAGGTGATGACGTGGTCCTTAGCTGATCTCGCAGTGGGCTATAATCTGAAACCCAGTTGTCTGTATTGTGCATCTCTGTCATTAAGTAAAACACACCGTAACTGGTGCTAGACATTTCAGTGCTGTTTTGGCAGAACAGCATGAAGTTACACCGAGTGTGCAAAGCATTTTGTAGGGTTAATATTGGTCCTTTGGGAGCATTGTCTCGCTGTAAAGCTCCAATTCTGTTTTATTGTCAGTGTTTCTCATTGTTAGACTTTCATGTCTCCCAATATCTTCATGCTGTTAATGCATTAGTGGAGGGGCCGTAAAAGTCTCACCATTCCAACATATATTTCTTTAATAGATTTTCATATTCATTTTATCTATTCAAGGGAACACAAATGATTTCCTTGAGCCACATAGGGAAACCCTTTACATATAGGTCTTCACATAGTAATAGCTGTGTTTATAACTTGTCCACACATCGTACAAAATCATGAATACTTTTTATAGCAGGCATGTCTTGTCTGGGAACTTTCAAGTGACAAAAATATCTGCAGTAATGTTTTGGTTTCTAAGTGATGACCAATGTAGCACATGAATTCAACAGTGAGCAATTATGTCATATTACTCACAAGTAGACCATATAAGTTCTTCATTGTTGGTGGTATTGATGATACATTAAAACGTTACCAGATTGTATAGGTCAATTTCTGTTTGATTTCAACATGTTGAAAAGAAAAAAAAAAACTAATAAATGATATGTTCACACAGTTTTAGCACAAATAAGAAATTTCCTTTCCTTTATCATAACCTATTTTGAAGCAAAATTTGAAACAAAATTTGAAACAAGAGAAAAAATATATTGACATGTTTAAGTTGGAGAGAATCTATTATACATATATATTATACCTTTATTTTACTGTATATTGATGTAATGTTAAATGATGTGCTTTAGGAGGATCAGATGAGTGTGCCCCCTGGTGGTGAGGGACAGCTGTCGTCTGTGGAAACCTTGTACACCATCAACCGTGAAGGTGATGGAGACGTGCCTACTCATCCACGACGCCTTGAAGATAGGTAGGTCATTGGATGGATGTGATTGATCTCTTGGTACCACAGGGATTGTTGTTGGCTCAATATTTCTCATAGGGTTTCTTGCTCTCCATTCAATGTAGTTTTGATATGTACAAGTGTATAACTGAATTAGTTTAACATCTTAAATAAATCATTAGAATTATTGATTTCACTGACAAAAATGTAATAAATGATTGTAATATAGGTAATGTGTGATTATTGAAGAAATCTCATATCATCATTAGTGATATTTTTCCAGTGATGATATTACTTTCATAGTTTTTGCCAACCACAGCATTGCTTTCTAGTCACTGCACTGCAATTCAACAGTTTTCCTGTTTGGATACAAATGAAACTTAGAATGAATCAGTTGGTTTCCATCAAATAAATCATGAATTTTGGGTACATTTCTGATCCTGTCAAAAGTTTGTAATTCTCCTCCGATAATGACATAACATGGAAGAATAAGTAATTCTCACCAGATTATGACATAAAATGGAGTAATATCATGTGAAGCAGCCTATACAAATGATGCCTTGTCAAAGGTCAAACTAACTGACGTCGAAGAACATGCTAATATTTTCTGCTCTTTTGTTTTAGTTCCACCCCACCCTTTTATTTTTCCGTTGAAATTCAGTAAAACTTTAATGATTTTCCATTAAGTATCATATTTTGTAAGTTTTAAGTAAGTAATTAAGTAGTCAAATACTAATAAAGCTAGGTTTATTAGCCCACCATCATCAGATGTTAGGCTATTCAAATCGCCCAACAGCAGTGGTCCATCCGCCTTTAAACAAATTTTGTTATGGCTAGTTCTTGAGGAATCCGAGATGAATCTTACTCAAAATTCATATGTAGGTTCCCCTTTGTTGCTAATTATGCCTGTTGGATTTTATGACTGATCAGAAAAACAAAATGGCCGAGAAGAGGCCATGTTGAATTCCAAGTATGTAAGTTTGTTAATGATATTTCTTGAGAAGTACTGATGGATCTTTCTCAAATTTTATATGCAGTTTCCCCTTGATCCCTATTTGTACGGTTTGATTTTGGAACCGATCAGAAAAACTAATTACTGAAAGGTAACCATCTTTTATATGGCAGTAAAAGATAATTATCTTTTTCTGCAAAGGAATGTTCAAATTTTGTATCATTAAGAGGAGAAGAGAGAAAAGAAGGGAAAAGATTCAACTTTTAAAGAACAGATAAAGATCAAACAATGGTAGGCAACATGATCCCTTTGGGATCTTTTGTGAAGGAAATAGACAGATTTCTTGAATATTGAACTGTTTTGGATCCCTGATATCAAATAGAGAATTTAATTGCCTGTTGTCTTTAAGTCACCATCTTCTTGTTGTCAGTCAGGAGAACTAAAACAAAGCACTTCCATTATGTTACATTCTACATAAGTATAACACACAGCCACAGGGCTGGGAAAGATGTATAAAAAAATGAATGGAGTGTAGCCCAGACCCGTGAAAGAGATTGTGGTCTGACCTGATAACATAGTACATGTATAATGCTACTCAGTTATCATTAGGCAGTAATTGGGCCGTGAATACAATTTACACATCTCGGCATCTTCACAGTAAAATATCTTGACTTCTCTGGCAGTTAGCCCATGTATAGTAATAAGCCCACCCACAGCAATTGCAGATTCAGATGAAATGCCAACAAATGTTGTGTGACAGTCCTGCAATGAACCCTACTTTCAGTCATAGATGATTTGTTGGCCTTCTGGGCTTAAAACCAATTAAATATGATATATGTATAATGAATGAATTAAACTATGATCTAACACTGTACATGTGTTAAGTATAATAAAGCTACCAGTTTGATATTGATACAGCGAGACAAGGCGTAGAAACAGGTTGAGTCAAGAAGACGGAAAAGCTGTAACAAACCAACCAGCCAACCAATATTGATAAATTAGAGACAATTTTGTTTCAACTTTGATTAAGGCCATTATTTTTACCAGCAGGTTGGATCCAGCAGATGTGTACCTCAGCAGAGCCAAGGAACTCAAACATGATGCTGACAATCTGGTTTGTAGCCAAATTTATTTTACAAAATATGAATCTAGCATTAATATGTCTTTTTGAAAGTTGCAAGAATTTTGGATTACCGAATTCAGTTACGGGCATCTTTTGAAGTTCTGATGTAAAATTTTTGTGGAGATTGATTTTAAATGTCTTTTTTTGCACAATTTGTTGAATAATCATTTCTTTTTGAAAAAAAAGTTTGAGATCAGTAACAGCAATTACTTAAGCAATATTTAATGTCATAAGTGATTTTTGAAGAAATCATCTCCTTTTTTGTCATAATAAAAAACTTTTTTAAAACTCTTTGCATTGAAGTAGACTTAAAGTTAGACTTATGGAAGTATTTTACATTTTGCTGACATTTGACGTTTGCTTTGAGCAGACAGATAAGCTGGCTAAATCTCTCATGTATACGGAGGCAGTGCTGTCCTTTATCCAGTGTGGCTATGCCATGGAACATGACCGTTTGTCGGATGTGTTCAGAATGTACCGCGACACCTTTAAACTCATCACGTGAGTAGTTGTACTTGGGGTTGGGGAGTTTGACTGTTTTGTTTTTTAGAAAGAAAAATTCAGTCGTGAAGCCAAAATTTTATTTACATTGCAATAACAGCCTGGATGTAAGTAGTTTAAAGAGACCTAAAGCAGTATTTGTTAAAAAGGATCAGATTAAAGTGCTCTGCAACTTAGCTGTGTCAAAGTGAGGTGATCAGGGCCTAGCAGCTTAAGAATGATCTCTGGAGGAAGCAAGAGTATGTTCCTGCTAGGTATGGCTTCATTTCCAATCAGACCAGCAGACACATTGTCTTTTAGGGACCCGATGCTCTGCTCCTAATGAAATTGCAGACCTATAACTGACTTTATACAAGCTATTAAGTACCCAGATCCTCGATTTGTAGGCTGTGCCAGGGAAAATCAATGCTGGCGGCTTATGATCAATTAAAAGTCGGGCAGCAAAGCGAGTAATCGCCTATTAGATTGTAGCAGCAGGAGGTTTCAAGTACAATGAATACATTTTAGTTCTAAAAAAATTACTGCAGAGCAATTTTCCAAGTGCATTGTATAATCGTTTGTAACAGTTATGTTGTATCTAGCAGGAAGAAATTTCTGACAACATTGTTGACCTACAATTAATCTCTCCTCTCTCTTGTTTCAGGCATATATGTAGGTTTAGAAGCACCAACGACAACTCCATGTCAGAAAAAGAGAAAAAACTAGCAGTATTAAGGTACCTGTCCTTGTCCGTATCCCAGCATCATTAAATACATTTGCTAATACCAGAACCCTGAGTACGGAGCGTTGATTTGTGTTTGTACTGAGTTTCCTAAATTATTGATCTGTTACCATTGTTTCTGTACTAACCAACTAAGTAACCTACTACAACTCCAAGGAAAACAAATTAGTCGACAAATACTTTTCTTGTGTTGATATGTTGTCATGGTGATTGTTTTGATAATATCAAAAATTGAGGTCAATGGATATGGTAGCATGCAGCTGAATTACATAGTTGTTCGGTGATGTGCAAAAGGCTGCTAATCAGTGAATCAAGGTGTATACTATATATCTTAGTCTGGAAAATATATCCAATTTCTCGTGAACTTGATGCATTAAAACTGAAATGTTGCTCCGATCCTGACTTTGAAACAAAAGAATTCCAAATGGCTTGAATATCTATTTCACTGAATTCAAAGGAAATCTTTCAAAATGGAAGTTTATTTCTCCATTTTGTCAAAATCCATTATAAGTGCTTTTTTAAGAGCTGACTAGTATTTACATGTGATGCAATATGTTAAGATTTTATATTTAATTTACACACCTTATTTTTTCTTAATTCTGATTGCTGAGAACTTAATTGTTTTTCTTGATATGGTTTTTTAAAGAGCTAACTAACTAGTATTTACACGTGATGCGATATCCAAAAATTCTGTGTTTTACAATTTGTTTTTCCTGTTTTGTTTGTTTATATTTCAAATACAATATATACATGTGTTTGATTTTCTTTACAGTTTTAGAATCCAGTCATTGTTATGCCAAAAGTTATTCAAGTTAAAAAAGTCAGAAGCGCTCAAATTCAAAAGGGTCATAGAAGAACACAATAAGGTAGGAGTTGGAGATCTAAGGGAAGTAACTCTTTACAACTGCATCTTGCTTTGTGATTTAAGGGAGGTAACTTGTTGTTGTTATGGACTTGAGATGATCCCAAATATCCTTTGGATAAATTCTGATTCTATTATAATGCCCATTATATGACATTTATATAGGTTGCTTTTGAATGTATCTATTTTTTTCTGAGTTTCATCATTCTTCAATTTTTAGGTGGCATCCAAACCACCACCAGCACCCTCACATGCTCCATCTCCCCATCAGACCAGCTGGCCACGCACCACTGGCACACCTTCACCTATGTCCCCCACTCCATCACCTTCTGGTAGTGTTGGCTCGAATGGTTCTCTGGTAAGTGCAGCAAATATGAAAAAAACTGTCTGCAGTTGATATGAACTTAACGCTATATTTTCTATAAGAAACTACTGTTACAATTCTAGCTACCATTTTGTTTCCTGTGCCAAGCTCTGATGATCTTTGACTGAAGTAGAGGATGTGATCACATTAGTTAGATAGTAAATGTTTGAATTTTTGCTGAATTAAAAGGATATGTTTGGGGTCATTATTACCACGTAAAGTTCTATAGTCAAATGGATCCTGTACAATACAAATTATCTTTGTGATGGTTACATTACTTGTGTGTTTGTGTATAGGGTAGCTGCAATGAAGTAACACCCTCCAAGCTAGGCGGAGGAGTCGTGGCCCTTAATGCCATGTCATCCCCGGGTAGTGTGAGTGTGCCCCACCGCATACATTCCATAACCCAGGAGTACCTTGGTACCGTCAACTACTTGGTAATGGGCCAGGACTTCTGGGACCAGGCCGATGCAGCCATGCACGAGTTCAAGGGTAAAGTCACTGTACACTTGATGTAGCTTATGTTTATTCATAATTTCAACAGTTTGTTTTGCCTTGTACTATTTCCCCTCTCCTTTCTTCATCGATGTTCAAGAGTTAAATACATGCCAGTGTATGGCAAAAAGTAGACATTAACAAAAAAAAAAACCTGATAAATTACAATTGTATGCATTTCCTTTTCTAATGGTATGGTTAGAATTGTAAATTTTTAATTCCTTTTCATTGTGTGACTTCTTATACCTTGTAAAATTGTTACTTAAGATACGTCAGATTCCGTATGTTTGGCTTTTTATTGGGAAATCATTCAGAGAGTGTTATGATGATTTTTGTGTCAATGTTGACAGATTGGTTTGCTGAATTGGATGAGCAGTGTGGAACCCTAACCCTGAACAGCAGTATAGCAGATCTTGTGTTGTATGTGCAGACAGGTCTCCAACGACTCAAAGATAGGCTCAAAGACACATGACATAGGCAGCCAATCAGGACTAAAGGGGCAGGCCAGCAAAGTGTCACTCTGCCTGCTAAGAGCAATGTATAGACTGCAAATGTGGAATGGACAGACTTAAAATGACAATAGCCCTTCCTATCATCAAAGTGTTCAAACTGGGGTGACAAAAGTGCTCCTGATTGTAATAGGTGCTGATGTTTATGTAAATCACTTATATGATTAGTGCTTGGTGATAACCACGAAGTCAATTTAATAACTCATGAAGGAGTCTGCTATTGGATGGTGCTGTGCATAGGACTTGAATAGCTAGGACAAAGGTGCTGGGAAGGTTTCTTAGTGGATGGTGCTGAATCAGGGTTTGAAATCCTAGGGTTCCTGATGAAGGATGAGAAGTAGCTGTCTAACCTCCCTTTCTGATCAGTGAACAAGTCAATATTCAGTCATGCTGGGATGTGAAGGTTGGTAAGCAGCATCACTGCTAAAAGGACTTCTCCTGAGGTTTTGGAAGACAGTCATCCTTTTCACCTTCCTCTGTGTACAGAAGACCAGACAGTCTGCCTGGTCATTTGTGCTCTATCTGGACTGATCTGGTTTTAACCCTGTAGTGGTGACATGGTAGTTGCTCACACAAGTTGGAATCAAAATATATTGCACTGCCTAACACATATCTTGCTCCTCTTGATGCAAATATGAACTGACCATAGCCAGTTGTTGGTTGCCATGGAAACTTTTAAATGTGACTTGTTGTAAATTGTTGCCATGGATATCATGGCGTGTATAACAATGAGGTGGATTTTGGGGTAGAGTTGTGGCAGTCTAGTCGAGGCCACTGACCTCACAAGGGTTGGCCAATCATGTTTGTCGCCTTCCGTTACTTTGTGATATTAAAGTATTGTTAAGTGGAGTTCCTACACCCTTGACACAAGGGAAATAGTGCAAATATTTATAAATTTCCAATAACGGAAAGATTGGAGCTTGTTATAGTTATACACAATATTGCTATTATGTAAAAATTGATTCATGATGGGCGACAAAAAAAAATATTTATAGATATGATGGAGATATGCCATACATATATTTACCTGTGTTTTATGCTAATGGGAGTGATTCCAGTTGTCGAAGCCATATCAAATCACGCATTGAAGTCCTATATGTACTAATTTTTTCATTTACCATTAATTTATTCCCCTTTACATCAAGGTAAGGGAAAGTATTCAGTATTTTTTTGGAGGGAGAAATCATTATCTATACCAAGTCTGGTAGGCAAAAGAATGTCTGACAATGCTTCTCCAATTAATATATATTTTTTGTTGTTGTCATCGTGGAAAATGTCTCTTCCTAGATATCTAGCTTTTTGTCTTCCAACAGCATTCAAACAAACTACATCAGTATAACCAGTCAGCTTTACTGAGCTACTTAATGATGAATTCATAAGTAGTTATATGCCTATTCTACAACCAAGATATTGTGAGCTAGAAGAGAATCGTCTTTCTCCTACCAATCATAAAAGAAATGAATAAAGAGCGACACATGACTCTCACAAAGAATGAAATCTTCAAAATATGTGCGGTAATTTTAACACTTAAGTTATATTAGGAATAGATAAGGTATATAAATAAGTGCTAAAGACTTGAAGATGTTGGTATAGTCCTGTAAGTGTTGAAGGCATTTGTGACCAGTTACAGGTGTATAGTGTGCATGAGTATGTAGGAGATATTTGTTTGACAAATATACTACAACACTTCTGAGATGACAAGTAGTATTGTCTGCCATGAACTTTCCTGTGATCCTTTGTTAGTGTACAGAGCTGAAACAAGATCTGAAAATAGTCATCCTTGTATCACTATGTCTTCTGGTAGAACTATCACAACTCCGTTATTACATTGCAATTTTTTTAGACTCATTTGAGGGGAAAATCTTTTTGTTTGTAATATGAGGATAAAAATTTTAGTTTGCTAAGGAACCATGTTATTGATGTATTAAAAATAAAGAATAATTTACATGTATCTGTAACATCAACCGTGAATTACATAGTGGCTATATACACCAAAGCATCCATGATTTTTTAATTTTCCTTTTTTTGAATAATTCCTGTCAGAATTTCAGTAGTCGATTCAGCAATTCATTTTAGGATATTAGATTTACCAGTGTTTTCAATTTATCAGATTCAGATTGGATATTGTATAACTGTTCATATAAAATTAACTGTTTCACATACTTATATCCAATGATATCCAAAAGAAATATAGGTTTAACCAGCATTCGATAATTCATCTAAATAATTGGTCCTCTATTTATAGTCAAGATTGTCTCATACAGTTTATTTTTATTTTCATGAGATAGTTGTAAATTGGCAGTGTAGAACAAGATGAAATGTGCCAAAATGAAAAATTTAATCTTGAGCAATGTAAGTATAAAGTTCAGTTGGGTCACACTAACTGTGATATTAAAATGTCAGATGTGGTGACTGATACATGCTATGAGGAGACATAGAGAAACAAGGGTGCCTGTCATGAGCGGAGATCTATATGAAGAACAGATTTCTATAGCTTTAATCTATGTGATATGCTTTTTTAACTTATTGAAAAATGAGTATTTTGAGGGAAATGCTTTGTATTTTTGTGGGGGGAAAACATGTCCAGACCTATTTTAGAGAGAAAGGGACCTGCTGAATATACATCTATAAAATGTTTATAATGATATAATGGTGTTGACCTGGATCAGGGAAAAGAAAACTCCTGTATATATCTATATGCTGTCTACAGTTATGACTATGTCATTGTGGAGCTCTAACCTCTTGAGTTTTGTCTTAGATAACTAATATCAAAAGGAATCAAATCACAGTAGGTTTTTCAGTGATCTCAAGTGATTTGTCATATGCTCGGACTGTCATGACAAATCAAAGTGTGGAAAGATAATGAAGGTTTATCTGTTTTTTTGGGTTTTTTTTCTACTCTTTTTCTTTTAAGTGATTTTTCTTTCCCTTAAAAGCTTATATTTACTGTAACGAAAATTACACAAAATGAATTAACTACAGCATGATTTAAAGTGTCTCACTTATCATGGCCTTGTATAAGTAAATGGTAAGTTTGCAGTGATATTTGAGACTCCAATATTAGAGTCTTTGACTCATGTTCTACCAGTGGAACTCGCTCAAATTTTCTAGTATTTGGACTCACCAAAATTTTGGAAATGGTGTTGTGGAAGTGTCAATGAAAAACAAAACCACCAAAATAACTGGTTTGTAGATTAAATTCTCAGCATGATTCAGTGTTTAAAAGACTTTTTCATGAAGATACTGTTGCTCAATATAAGAAACTCCACAAGTTTAACCAAACATCCATATGGAACGGTATCAATCATATTGAATAGAACTCAACCATTCTATATGTATCCCCAGTCCATCACCTGGGTAAAATGTGATAAAATTAAAAACTATTAGGAATGGCAAATTTTTATAATTATGTTGTTTTACTTATTGTACCAAACCTAATGGATTAAGATCAGAAATACAGTGCTTGTATATTCCTCAATTTATTTCCTCTCCAGTTCTGATATCTTGTCATTCCTTTGGTGGGGCAGGAGAATGTTAACTAGCGCATTCCATGTAGGCAACACAAATTTGATTGTACGCTGCTGTTAGCAAAAGCAATACCCTTTAAATTTGTTAGGCATTGCTCTAGGTTTTTCTTTCCCTCTTTTATTGTTGACTTCTTTTCGTCATGTTGTCATAATTTCATGTGATGGCTAGAAATGTCTTGTGTTCACTATCCCATCATTCATTAAACATTACGCAAATACTATTTTTACTTATTCTATCATGTACCTGTTACATGAAAACAATCAGGATGAGAGACAGGCTTGAGGAGGGAATCTGTGACTAGGTATTTGCTTCAAATATGACTACACTGATAAAATATGTAAAAAAAAAAAATGACTTAAAAGTTTCCTTTATCAATAGAGATAGAGGGCCTGTTTTAATTTATGCAGTCAATTTAAATATTTTGTTTTATTGATTTTTTTTTTTTTTTTTTTTTTGAACTAACTTCTATGCCCATTATATACATGAGTTTTGAATTTGAAAAGACATTGTTTTTAAATCTATGTAAACAAAGATTTGCCAGGAGAGAAGAGGCCAAAGACATGCAACTGCAAACAAGACCTTTTCTTGACACGAAGTCCCCATTTGTCATAGTGTTTCTTTCATCTCCATTTTCACCAAGAATGAGTCAAATTGAGATTGAGAAGGTTGGCAGTTATTTGACAATCATTTGACATTAGGTTACCAAAACCCAGTTTGAAAATAATAATTTTGCATACTACTGACCAGCTACGCTGGTTGTATGCTAGCCTATAGAGATTAGAAAAAAAATTACATCAGAAATGCACCAAATCAGGGTACACATGTGTTCTTCATATAGCTGTTGGTCATTTGATGACACATTCCATGATGAAGTCCTTTTTGACCAGATTTCCATGACACATCTTGCCATACTGACGGCTAACAAACATTTCTTGTAAAAGCCTGATAGAATAGTTGATAAGATCAGTGTGAACCGTAGTCTTAATGGTGCAGTGTGACTGATATTATTTGTGTGTGAACTAGGAAAGTTGGTGCTGTGTTTAAAATTAATGTCATCCTATAGAATTTGGAGGATGATGAAAAACATTTTCAGATTCATGGATAAAATCCAAGTCTGATTATGCATATATATGTAGTCAAGCAGTTGTCTCCCTTTTTCAGTCTGTTGAATATTAATGTACTTCTATATAAATGTATTGTAAATAGTCAATTGATCCATGTTTAAGCCTATGAGGCCGCCTCCCCCTCACCCCATCTCTTATACCTTGCTGTACTTCCTCCTGTAATAGACAGTAGTATTAATATCTTCACTTTAGGGTTAACTAATGCCTTCCTTTACAGAGATATTACTTATGGCAGCACAGGTTCGGTAGCAGAAGGCCTTGCTTGCATTGTGTTACCAACCCATGATCTGATTCAATCATTGAATTAGGTT